GTGAGTGACCCCAAGCACTCTTTTCTGCCTTGGAACTGTGAGGAAGATTTCCTCTCCACCACCATTACAAGCTCAATCACATCTCCTCGCCCCAGGACCACCACCCAGAGCTGTGACCCAGATCCAAGCACAGGCAAAGCAAGAGAATCCTGCACCAGCAAAGAGATCCCTGCAATCTCCCTCTAATCAGCCACTTGATTCCCCCTTAGTCTGTGGGCCTGAAGCTCCAGAAGCAGCTGCCACTCTGCGACCACACTCAGGGACTGGGGCTGGGACAGAGCTTCTCTCTCACCATAGTCAAAGACTTTTCCTACTGACCTTCTAAGTTCTCTTTGGTGTTCATGGGTTGAGAAGTCTAGAAACCGCCACAACTGCCTGTGATTCAGTCCTGTGAGGGCTGCTCCAAGTTCACTGGGGTTGTTTTGCCTGCGCGCCCACACTCAGCTGTGTTCCTCTCCCCACCCAGCGCGGTATACCTTTCCAATCAACCATCCAGGTTGTCTTGGGCAGGAAATTTGTTTCACTTTGTCTTTTTGTGGATTCTGCTGCTTTAGAATCTGTTTAGAGCCATTTTTTACAGGTATTTGGAGGAGAGCTCAAGCAAGTCACTGCTTTTATTCCGCCATCTTGGCTCCACCCCCTGTCAGGCCTCCTCTGACTTCTCTACACCATTTAAAATCATCTTTCCCCCAAAAATCATTTATAGATGATATTCACCAAAACCATGAAATTTGTCCTCTTTTCAACTGTGTTCTTAAGAAAAACTTCTCTTAAGGATTAGAACAAACATCCTCCTCAGAAAGTAGGCCTTATCACAGCCATTTTTACTAGACTTAGAAAGGATTTCTCTTGCCAGGCAACCTTAATGAAGGGAGACCCTGCCTTTCTTAGTCAAGGCAGGGCAGACAATATTAGGGCTCACACAGTGAGAGCTTTCTGCGGCTCAGTTTCCTAGTGCCATGAAGAAGGTATAGACTCCCAGTCAGCTCATGCCTAGTTTTTTAGACTGACCTCACCCAGAGGCTCCAGTTTTGGTTCCCATTGTTTATGGGTAAATCCATAGGGTTTCTGGAACTGCTAGAGCACAGTCTTCTGAAGGATTGATTGAAAATATTTGGGGAAGGGGCAGCTAGGTGGTGCAGTGGATAGAGCTCTAGTCCTGGAGTCAGGAGGACCTGAGTTCAAATCTGGCCTCAGACACATAACACTCACTAGCTGTGTGACCCCATTTGCCTCACCCAAAAGAAAAATTGGGAGAAGTATGAATAGTAGTTAGGCACAAATAGGGTATTTTATACTTCTTCATCTGCACTAACCAGTAAACATTATGAAATGGGAAAGAAAAAGATCTGGGTATGGTAGCACACACCTATAAATTCTGCTATCGGGGGAGGCTATAGCTGGTATATCACTTGAGTTTGGGAGTTCTGAGCTACAGTAGGGCTATAACTATTCAGATCTCCACAATAAATTAGCACCAATATGGTGAGCCCGCATTGTTCTAAGGAGGGGCTTACCATCCCAGGTTAGAAAAAAAGATTAAAAAAGATTAAAACCTCTGTGCTTAGCAGGGTGGGCTAGGGAGGAAGAAGAAGGAAAGGAGTAGAAGGAGGGGGAAAGAGGGAGGGAAGAAGGGGGAGAGAAAGAGAAATGTCAATCAACAAATATTGATAGAGCAGAGAGCTACTTTAAGGCTCGAGAATAGCCCTGTGAGAATACAAAGAAATGGTAGTATCCCAGCCATTGTGGAGTTAGTGTTAGTGGGTAAAAAGTTCAATAATACTAGAATTTCAAAATTATATAAGAAGTATTGTATGATGAATGTTACTAACAAGACAGTGACTCCTCTGAGCTCAGAGGAGGGAGAGCTAGCCATAGGCAGGAGGAGTCTGGCTAGGCTTGTCAGAGGTAAGACGCATTTTATTCTGTCATAATTGACATATGATCTCATAGGTCCTGTATTTAACTGAGCAGATGTAGGAGTAAAACCCTATGTCATCATGCACAGATAGTCTGTTGGGAGCCTCCATTGTTCATTTACTTCTTAAAATATGACAGTCACAGTTGCTGATTTGACTTTGTCCCCCAAACTTCTGTGGATATTTCTGAGATGCCAGTTACTATGACTGCTGAAAGAAAGAAAAAAGACCCTAGAGTAATAGGAAATGTAAGGAGAGGAGCTCAAGCAAGAATATGAAATTGGTTTAGAGGGCCTTTTGATTCAGAAAATGCAAGGCTTTAAGAGAATTTTTCACTAAGTGGATCCCTGGAGCCTTAGGGGAAGATATCCTTATTCTGGTGCTAGACTCTGCCAGGCCTGGGGTCTTATTAGCTGAGCACATTAACTCACTTCTAATAAGCTTCTTCACTTACACTTTGAAAAGCTGAAATCTTTGTAGACAGCCATGGGGAACAAGTGTGGAAGCGAAGATACCCTGTTCACTGAAGTTCATAAAGCTCAGAGTTCTCAAGGGAAGAGGAAAAATGATCACATGTTGGCAAGTCTTGAAAGAAATGAGGGGGGAAAGGGCCTTTAATCTCAGAACCAGCAATCAAGAGCCTGGGACCAGTGTTCTGGTACCCAGGAGAATAATAATAAAAAGAAGAGCTGTCGTTTTTATTACGTTTTTTGAGGGGGGTTACCTAGCACTTTCTATTTTCTTCTTAAAATGGTCCTATGATTTGATGGCTGAGAATGAGTAGCAAAGTTGGACCTCGAACTCAGTTTTCTTGACTTCAGATGCAGTGCTTTTTCCCTCGTTGATGCAGAAACAGGATCTACACTTCTGTGCTGTGGAATATCATAAACTCCAACCATGCTTCCTTGGGCTGGCCCCAGGTTCTTTATAGGTCTCAATTTTCATTTGTGAGCCACCCAAGCCATAGACAGTCCCAGTGATTCTCTTTGGTGTCCTTCTCACTTGAGGTCATGACCATAGTTTTTCTTTTTATTTAATTATGAGTCTGTCACTCATTTATTTACCAGAATTCCTCTCAAAGCTATTTTATCTCTAGCCTGTACCATCTCTTGGAGTAACAAGTTGCTACCCGCCATGTTAAGTGGAACTCCATTTTATCTGTCTTAAAACTACAGCCTTTAAACTTCAAGTAGTAAGGCACAGAGCCCTTTATAATATTCTGGAGTTTAGTGAACAGGTCTTTTTTCCCTTGTTCTCTCTGTCATGATGTTTGTTCTATGTTCCTGCCTCATCTCAGCCTTCTCTCTTTCCAGACTGACAACAGCTAACCTTTTTCGCCCTGACCTTGGCTTGTCAGGCCAGGATAAGGAAGAGACTAGCAGAGGGTTTAACCTAAAAGCACAAGATAAACACCAAGAAGAATCTGGAAAGCAAATTTACCCAATTAAGAAAAGGAGAGTACTTCAGAGCAAAGATGCCCAGGTAGAATGGGCAGAATATCTGTAAAGAGATAAGGAAGGCTAGAGATTTGCACAGGAAAACAGATAGTAAACATTAAAGGAATTTGGGAGATTTGATCTTGTGCCTAAATATAAAGAGAACACCAGAATAGTGCTAATTTGGAGGGGATAAAAATACCAAAAGAAAGCCAGTTCCTGTCCTCAAGGAGCTTACAATCTAATAGAGTAAGTAGTATCCAGGGAGAATCTGGAAAATCACAGGGATGCTAAGTGGAATCATTAGATAGCTAATTGACATGTCCTTTCTAAGAATGGTAGTGTTGATTTGATGGCTGTTCCTAGAGCAAGCAGTGGGAGGGAAAAGAAGAACACCCACATTGTGTGTGGCATGGCAGGAAGATGGTGGGGTCCAGGGCTGGCTATATATGGTGAACTCTTTCCAATTAGACTTGTTTTACTTGACTCCAGAGAGTAGAATCAGGAACCATGGGGAGAAGTTGCAAAATTATAGCATGTTTAAAGAAAAAACTTCCTAAAGATCTATTCAGAACTGTGTAATGGGCTACCTTATGAGGTAGTGAGACTCTCATCCTTGGATAACCATTTGTCAATTATATAATCGATTGAATTGGTTTGAATTAGACAGCCTTTCAATTCTGAGATTCTAAGCACTGTGGAGGATATATTGCGCGAATTGCGCTACGGCATCTACTGTTAGTGAACTTCTAACCCAGAATTCTTGACCTGTGATTCACAGGACCCCCAGGCAGTCTATGGATAGATTTCAAGGGTCCCTTGCACTTGAGAGGAAAAAATTACATTATTTCCACTAATCTCCAAATGAAATTTTGTAATTCCTTCAAATATTTTAAAATGTTATTGTCATGACAAGGGATCCATAGACTTCACCATATTGTCATAGGGGGTCCATGTGGGGGTCCATACCACACAAAAAAAGCCTACTATTCTAGTCTAATGGAAAAACATAGGCCAACATACCATCAAGGAACTAGGGGAAGGAGGAGGATAGGGTGCCTGTGGGACCTGTCCATTTTAGTAATGGAGGTCAGAATACAAATATTAAAGGTCGTGCTTATTGAGACAAGAATATAAAAGTAGCAGCTGTGGACCACTATAGAAAGAATACTGGGGCAACTGAACTGTCCTTATCTAGGGGGTATTAGAGAAGGTTTCATGAACAGAGATGAGAATCTGGAGAATGTAAATGGTATGGTTTGGCAGTATGAGAGAAGACAGTAGATACAAGATTACAAAATGATTCACATTGTTTAAGAAAGCTTACTTTCTTTACATGCTTAAGAAAGTTATATCAGTGGCTTGAGCAATGAAGGTCCATATGTATTATATAAAGTTTAGCTTCCAGGTTAGTTCTATGAGATTTTCATTTTCTCTTTGTTCAGATCTCCACAGAGGCACTGGAGGTGGGGGGAGGGGGTGGGGGGAATAACTTGGGTCTGTTAAGACTTGTTCCTTGAAAAAAAGGTTGGTGTATCCCCATCTACCTTCACGAGGTAGTCGTGAGAAAAATCATTTGTAAACCACGTAGCATCATATAAATGTGAGCTACTCTAATTAATCTCTCATTGCACTTTCTCATCAGGAATGCCGCAAGAATGAAATACTGCTGTCCAAGGTGAAATCCCATATTTCCTGAGAAATCACATCAGCTGGCAACCTTAATTGATTTTTCTAGCCTGGAGATGATTACCACGTTATGAAACGTGATAGTAGCAGCCCAGAGATGCCGGCAGATTGCTTCAAATACTCTGGATTTTTTTTCTATTTTGTTTCTTTTCATTCCCGTGCCAGGTGTTAATGACAGTCATTCAACACAAAGGGTATAACTAGAGTAAAAGCCCTTCCACAGAATAAGATGTAATGTGGCCAATATTTCTTTTCTGTATAGATTTTTCTTTTATATCCAAAATAACATTACATATAATTAAGATATCAGGAAAAATATTTGCATAAAGTCTCTATAAAATAAAAATTAACTCATTCATTCCACAGATATTTATTGTCCACCCTCCCTCCCCACACCCCTCCTGTGCAAGACACTATTCTAGGCATGGTGGGGTAGGGGGAAAAAGAAAGCATTGAAGGATACAATCACTTAGCAGAAACAGGTTCTGTGCTCTGGCTGCTTACAGCCTAAATGGGAAAGTAATATCATAAAACAGAAATTACAAGGCAGTAAGTGCTCCCTATCCCAAGAAAGATATAATTAGTGTTGTAAGGATTTAGAGGACAGAAAGCTCAAGTCTGCCTAGATTGGTGTTAGGGCCCAGGACAAAGGCCTTGCTCCTGGCCCCACCCCTAAAGAGGACACAGTCATTTAGTCCTCATCCTCTTCAGTTAGGGACAGTTCACCTGGGATTCATTGGGACCTTGAAGGGGCCTCCCCAACCTTGACCTCAAGTCAATAGTGCAGTGGAAAGGACGCGGTTTCTAGAGTCAAAGGACCTTGGTACAAATCCTATTTCTTATGTTAGTTGCATGACTTTGCATGAAGTTGTTTATTCCCCCATGGCCCTAGTTTCCTAGTCTGTAAAATGAGGGGTTTAAGGCTAAGTGGCCTGTGCAGTCCCTTCTAGCTCTCGCCTTGTGATACTGTGAGCCAGCTGTAAAATCTTATTGTCTTCTCACTGCCCAGGATCGAGTTCTCAGCCCTTCAGACCACCTCAGCATACCTTGGTACACACTGTTGTTCACCTGCTAACTGCTTACCTGCTGTTTTTCCAACTCGGCCTGACTTCCACCACTGATCTGCCCATTCAAGTGTCTGTTCTGCTTTGTTCTGGGCCCAGCTTCACTTCCCGCTCTACAAATGCTCACCTCAACTGCAATGCTCAACTGTGTTAATGCACAGTTAAGTACTGCTCCCTCAATACCTCTTCCACCATCATTCTGCCAGCTAAGGTCAAAAGAGCTTGTAGCACTGCCTTTTGTTCTGACTCTGAGTCTCCAGTGAGCTCTTCCCAGGTACCAGACAGTACAGGAAGGCAGGGGAGGTTTTGTAGAAAATGTGGAATTTAAGCTTGGACCTTGAAGGGCTCCATTATGGAAAGATGGAGTAGAGAAGGGAAGGGCAATCAGTAACAGGAAATTGCAAGGCAATAATACCTGCCACCTATATAGCACTTTATATCAAATCCAGCCTCAGACACTTACTAGCTTACCTGGGCAAATCACTTAACCTTTGTTTGCCTCAGTTTCCTCAACTGTAAAATGGGGATAATCCATTTACCTCCCAGGATTGTTGTGAGGATCAAATCAGATATCTCTAAAGCACTTAGCACAGTTTATGGCACATAGTAGGTGCTATATAAATGCTAGCTATTATCATTACATCGGTTATCTCATTTGATACACCCCCACAACCTGAGAGGTAGATCCTACAGGTACTGTAACCCCATTTTACCTGCAGGGATATTGAGGCTCAGAGAGCTTTAAGTGACTTGTCCATGAATGTACACCTAGTAAGTATGAAGGGTAGAATGTAAAACGTCTGTCTTCCTTACCGCAGGTTCAACCTGGCTTCTCCATTAATAGACCATTTTAGTTAGAGTGGAATAGTGAAGGAGAGAGTAGTGAAAGCTGAACTTGGTAATGTCATTTGGCATTAAATCATAGAGGGTTATTCGTGACAGGCTGAGGAGATCGGGCTTTATGCCATAAACAATGGGTCACTGAATCAGAACTGTATGAATTTCATGCCCCGAGATTCCAGTTAATTTTGGCAATATAACATGCTGGATGAAAATTAGATTTCAGATTGGGCTTCATGGACAGGTATTGTGGCCAAACACTAGCCAGAATTTTTGGACAATAAAATGTGAAACTTAAACACATCAGACAGACATAACTTTAACTCCAGTCACTTTTGATAAAATATTATACAAAAAATATATACATATATGGTAAGGCATAGGTGATGTGAGTGAACGTTTAAAAAAATCCACTTTGGATTAGTGAATGTTAAGTCCTATGCTAGGCCTAATGAGACCTGAAAGCATCTCTTCACCAAACTGAAAACCCCCTCTCTCTGCCTTTTGGAATGTAGCAAGCATTAGAGTTGCATCCTTACATACTTTCGCTTATCTGCACATAACAAATCCCACCTACTTGCTGGAAGGAAATAAGTAATGTGATAGCCTCCTAAAAAAGGGAAGCAATTTGGGGTTTTGGGTTTTTTGACATTTGGGTCAACAACATATTCAAGACTATCTTATAATGTTTTGAGTGTGGTGAGGAGAGATCCCTTGCAGTTGGGTTGGGTTGGTAAACCACTTGAATTTCCAGGGAAGCATTAAATACAATTTATCAAGCAGATCACAGACTTAGAGCACCTGGCCAATTGGACTCTTCTGTTACTGAGTTTAGAATTTTTTTTTTCTGGTCTGTTCATGGCACAGAATTCCCTTTACTGGAAGAGAGAGGGAGAATTATGAGGGAACGGGTTTCTGTATGTCACTGTAATCAATTCTGATTTCCAGCCTAATGGAGAGCAGTGGTGGGGCAAATAACCCCAAATAACAGATAATTAAATGATATTTCTATTTAGCTGCATTCTGCTTTGTTTTGTTTTGCTCTTAAGGTATTAATTTATATTTCTGGTTATTTTTCTGATGGGCTACTGTAATTATTAAAAATTAATTTCTATTCCTTTAAAATATATCTACAAGATGGCAGGATACAAGTGATAGGGACTTTTTGGGGGCAGAAGAAAACCAAGCATTGCACTTAAATATTTGTTACAAATAATACACAAAACAAATAGGCAAAGGGTTACTTTTCAAAACTAGGGGAAAGGTTTAAAAATGAGAAGAACAAAAGATGAGGAATCTTAAGGAAAATAATGGAAAAAATGAGAAGGAAGGGAGCCCAAGTGGTACAAAATCTCAAACTATACTACAAAACATCAAAACTATTTCATTTAGGTTAAAAAAATAGAAAAGTCAAGGGAACAGATTAGGTACACAAGAAAGAAAAACAAAGAAGTATACTGTAATAGCATAGTGTTAATAAACCCAGAAGATCCTCACTACTAAGGTAAGGATTCTCCATTCCATAAAATGTTCTGAGAAAACTGAAAAGTAGCCTGGCAGAAATTAGGGTTTAAACCAACAGCCTACATCATACACAACAATAAGTTAAATAGATGCATGACATAGAAATAAAAGGTCACAAAGTACACAATTTAGAGCATCAAGGGAAAATATACCTTTTTAGCTATGGATAGAGGAAAAGGTTTTGACCTTACAAGGGACAGTGAGAGTCACAGAAAATAAAATGGACAGTTTTCATGACATAAAACAAAGGTTTATGCAAAAACAAAACTGATATGACTAGAATTAGAAGGTAAACTGAACTGTGGAAGAAAATCTTAACAGCATATTTCTTAAATCAATGATATCTAAGATATGTAGAGAATTGCTACAAATAAATGTTAATGGGTCATTCCCCGAAAGATAATCAAAGGATATGAAAAGAGAAATAAAACCTTTGGAACATATTGGAGGTACTGGTGCTGGATGGTGCTGTCCACAGGAGACATGTCCAGAAAAAGACCTTTATACTTAGAATTAGTGAAGATGCAAAGATGTCCCTTTTTTCCCCAAGCAACTTTGTATAGTTGTAGTATTTTGGTTCTATAACCAAAAGAATTTGTTCTAAATCCCCAATGTTTCCTAGGAGCATATTTTTTTTTCTTTAAGAATCCTATGTTTCTTTTAAGTATCACTATGGGGATAAATCACTTAGTTCTCAAAGGTCATGCACAATAGTTTGACAATTACAATTTGCAAAAGTGATTGCTGAACAACTGTAAGTGATATTTGGAAGATTGATGCACCAAACATGCCCTAAAACTGGAAATGGGTATATATTCCAATTTTTTTTTCAAAAAGAAAGACAGTGGATACATCAGATTATAGATCAGTTACCTTGATACTGGCATCTAGCCAAATTTTAGAATAGATTGTGGACAAAATAGAAAGTAAGGAGTAATCTAAACACTGTCATGAGTTTGTCAACAAATAATACAGGGCTAAACTCATAGCCTTTTTTGACAGTTACAAATCAAGAAGGTACGGGGAATTCAGTGGATATGATTTACTTGGATTTCATAAAAGCATTTGATAATGTATTTCAGTATCCTTGTGAACAAGATTGACATGGGAACTGTATTATTGTACAATAAGGTTGATTAGAAGGGAGGTCTCTAGTGAAATGCCACAAGGTTCTATTTTTGCCTCTGCCTTATTCAAGATTTTTACCAATGATGTGGATAAAAATATACATGACATGCTTATCAAATTTGCAAATGACAAGACCTTGGGAGGGATAGCTGATTCACTATGACTGGATGACAGAATCAAGATTGACAAGCTGAAATAATGGACTGGTGAAAAGATAAAAATGGGATAAAAGTGGGATCTTGAACCTGGGTTTTAAAAATCAATTGCACAAGTACAGAATGAAGAAATTTGCTAAACAAAAATCTATATGAAAAAGACCTGGTAACTTTAATAAGCCCAACACAAGTAATTATGCCTAGACTACATTAATAAAAATGCAGTGCCCAGAGCAAGAGAAGTTTATTCTATAGCCAGTCCTCCTTAGACCATATTTGGGATATGGTGCCCAATTCCAATGATCACATTTTGGGGAAGGTGTTAAGCTAGAGCGCATTCGGAAGAGAGGGACAAGAACGAGGGAACTGGAGACCAGGCGTGTGATCAGTTTAATGGGACTCTGTAATGGAGAAAAGAAATGTGGGGACGATGTGCCTTCAAGTTCTTGAAGGTACAAAGAAAAGAATTGTTTTTGCTTGGTCCCAGAGGTAAGAAATAGGACCATCCTATGGAAATTGCAAGAACATAGATTTGGGCTCTACATGAGAAAAAACTTGCTGACAATTAGAGTTGTCTAAAAATGGAATGGACTGCCCTGGGGGATAGTGAGCTCCTTCTCACTGGAAATCATAGGATCAAATATTTA